CTGTGGGCACCTTTGTCGCCTCCTACTCTTGCCATGTTGACACTACCGTCATTGCTGTGCTCGAAAATATTTGTAAGGAACAAGCACTGACTCATTCTTAACAACTGGTTCCGCTTCCGCTCATCAACGGAAGGTTTGAGTGTCCTTATTTGTCTAGGAAAAATGGCCTACTGCATGAACCTTTGTCTAGCCAAGAATCCCCCGAGTTCAAGAACGTCCAAGGATTTTGAAGGTGAGGAATACGAACAGCACAAATCAAGTGCAGTTTGGCTTGGAGGGGGGGGGGAGGAAGAGAATTGGGCACTCTCGCTACTTCCCATCGATGTGTTCACTGCTTCACAGGTCTCGACAAGTATTTTCTACAAGAGCTGACAAGTGCTCTCTACAAACTTTGGCTCGTACTACTTCCGTGGCTTTACAAGATTTCACCGGTCTCCACTTGATGGCTCGACATGATGGCGGGAAATAGGTGCGAAATGTCCCTCCAAAGCGAACTGCTCCCAAAATCGCATCAACCATAGGGCTGGCCCTAGCGAAAGGTCTTATGTAGAGGGCACTGAAGTGAAATGTATGAAATTCCGTAGCTGCTCGCTGTGGTAGACGAACGTTTCTATCGCGAGCCAACGAGGTTGCACCAATCACGCCGCGCGCGGCGATTCGCGCGGCAATGTCAGAGTTGCACTACTGTGTCCGTACGGGTTGTCGTTGAGTAAGAGGTTAGTCCATGACCATGGTGTGATAGCAGCAATAGGATAGCTCCCTTTAGTAGTTTAGTCTGAATGTGCCATGAAACAGCAGACCCCTACGCAAAGGCTGCGATAGGTTCGCCACGTGAAAAATCATATTTTTTTTTGCTGTATTCTACCCTGAACTCAGAGTCCCGGCTCAACCCAGTAACCAAGCTCTCCTCGCCCGTGGACGGTGCCGGATTCATCTGGGAGTATTAACTGACTTGTACATTGGTGTGCCCCCTGATGTCGTTGTGTAGGCCACATCGCTTCAGTAATTCATAAGGATTCTAAATGGAAGTAGAATGCGTGCCGCATCCCACAAAGGGATTGATCAACGGCGAAGACTTTATCCTTTATCTTTCACAAACAGTGTTTTCATCTGTTTTTTTTTCACTTTCTTATAAGACATGTGTATTCCGTGTTCAAAAAAAAGTCTTGATAACATTAGAACATGAAGTAGATGCCAGATACACCATGCACAAAACAGCGCAGAGAGGGAAAATGGATGACACACCATGTGTGTCACGCGTAACGTGCCAAGTTCCCAGTAACTGCAAAGAAATCACTTTACAGTTGGTACCGTCACAGTCTTTTCGGGCCTGGGTCACAGAGGGAAAGCCCGCGCGGCGTTTTCTATTTCTGGTCGCTGTTTTCTTCCGTTAAGCCGACACAATCAGTTCACTATTGGTAGAAAAGGCAGCCTGGGGCGGGTCCTCTTGAACATTCCTGATACCGCCCCCGCTGATTTCTGCGATATCAGCTCATAAAGGCCTTGTAGAGTTTTCGGACTGCCTGACAAAGGATGTGTCTCAGCATATTACGGTTTTCGTGGTTCCAGTGAGAGAGTTGCAGCGCGTCTCGTCGACGGTAGACGTAGGTCGGTATTTCATAGTTTTTCACCATGAAACTTTCTTTTCCTTTCTTACTGAGCAGTGTCGCGGCAGCATGTGGGCGCTAACGTAGTTGGGGGGGAGGAGACCCCCAACCTTCATATCCCTCCTCTGACCAAGACTTAGATCAGTTGTGAGCAATACCTTTCAGTGGGACTATCGGCTCGCTCAGCGACTACCATGTCTCGTCTGTTTCTAGTTCAGTGCTTTTCTGGGAAGAGATATGGGGGCGCAGGTCGTGGTCGGTCTCCTGTTGAGGTTGGTTGTTTCCGATCCATCGCATTTGTATGTAGTAATAAATTGCTGTCTATTGGATTTTCGTTTGTCTCATTTCTTTGTTTAACCATTGAGCGTGTCTTAGTGCGATTCGCGAAACGTCCCCAGATGTTAGTTGTTCACATTTGTGCGCTGTGGCTACAGACTTGAAGCAAAACGAGCGAAACCGGTAAACCAATGTTTTGAGCCTCGTTGTTCTTACACGACTTCATCGTCAGAAAGCAATTTCGACGATGCTTTTCTTGGTGATGCGCCAGATAACCGCTAACTGGAAGATAAACTCAATGCATCATGCAGCAACCGCAGTGACTTCATATCTGTACGGTTTCCAATTGAAGCTTTTTTTTACGAGCGCAGTATTGCGACGGACATTTTTGGGGGCAGGAGGCATTGGCCGGGCCCGAGATCGCTAAAACAGTTCTGATGTTGCAGCTTTGTTAGGGCGCTTTATGAGCGGTATTCCTTTTGATTTTATTGGAAAAGGCTCGACCGTCAGCGTCCTTTGAAACGCGCGATTTTGTTCCTTGCCTCAGGGGTATCGGCCTTACACAAACTTGGGGGTCTTTATCGTGCATTTGCCTTTAATGACAGAGTACGTCGAGTTCACTAGCTCAGGATAACCAGTTGTACTTCAAGCTGATGTTCCCGCGCCCTCTCTGGATATCATAGCCCTGCCTAGGATGCAGTATGTACTAGTTTTGCCCCTCGAAAAGGCGAGAGGATAGCGCCGCTTGCTAGTGAAGAGTCGGCCGCCCGCCCACCTGGCCAGCATAGGGTTCTATATAGGGCATTTTCCATGATTTTTTTTTCTGCTTTTTTTCTTCACTACTGGATCACGTATTATATGAGCTCCATAACTCATTATTCTTGAAAGCGGGCTCAGCCTTTGAAGGCTAAGCCAAAGCAGTTATGGCAGCCAGGTGGGCGGCGCGGCATCCCCTTCACAAGCGGGTGGCGCCATTTTTAAGCCGCTAAATCAGTACATCCTTCACCCTTGTTGACAAAGCTGCGATATCTAAGGATGTCTTCAAACATCAAATGAATGCGGGCGCTGCCTTAAAACGGGACGGTGCACCAGCTGTTTTAGGATACTTATTTTGAGACAATTGCAACATGTCTCGCACAAGAGAAAATAGCAATGACCTAAATGTGGAACATCCCATGAATAGCTCATGGTGAAGTACGCAGCCATGCCTATCGCGTCAGGGATGTCGAGTTCGTGCACTTTGTCACCGCAAAGCGAATTTCCTGACCAGCATCTCTCCAACACACTAAGGCAGCGTTCAGACTTCGCGACGGCAGCGCTTCGGATCGCGCGTTCGACGCGATCGATGCAGTAGAAAGCATGCGCATCGATCGCGCCGAACGCGACTGAAGCGCTGCCGTCGCGAAGTCTGAACGCTGCCTAAGGTTTTGCCTGACACTTTTTCCCAACAGGAGAATAGTTTCCTTGAAGTCTGGCTGAAATAACAGCCGGGCTACTCATGTAGTCCAGTGCTCCCACCCCTACCTACAGGCTTCGCAAAATTCATAGTAAACGAGGTTTTCAGTGGAGAACTTCATATTTGACTTATCAGGTCGATTTTTTCTTATTTTGTGGGGAGGCTTTATGATCTTTTAAAAAGCGTTGTGATGTCGTATATCGGAACGGTATCGGCATCGGATTGTTTTTGACTGCACTAATGGTAAGAGGCGTGGTTGTGAGTGGTTGCTCGACGCCATTTGCACTCTATTTTTCCCAGGCGCATCGTGGCTCTTCTTGTCTGACACCTTATATTTAATTTTTATCAAGAGCGTAATCTTTGTGTTGAACAACATTGACTACATGAAATCAAATAATACAAGAAATAATACAAATGAAATGGTACAAGATCATCCTCGAAACCTCCTACCAAAAAATCGAGACCTTTGAGAGTAACCTCGCTGAGGCCCTCGCATGCGCCCTAGGTGAGACGCTCCCCAGGGCCTTGACTGAGACCTTTGCTGGAACCCTCGCTGAAGCCCTCCCCAGAGCCCAGACCGAGACCTTTGCTGGAACCCTCGCTGAAGCCCTCCCCAGAGCCCAGACCGAGACCTTTGCTGGAACCCTCGCTGAGGCCTTCCCCAGAGCCCTGACTGAGACCTTTGCTGGAACCCTCGCTGAGGCCTTCCCCAGAGCCCTGACTGAGACCTTTCGCTGGAACCCTCGCTGAGGCCTTCCCCAGAGCCCTGACTGAGACCTTCCGCTGGAGCCCTTGCTGAGGTTTTCCCCAGAGTCCTGGCTTGGGATCTGGCCGAAACGCTCGCTGAAGCGCTCGCCAAAGCCCTGGCTTCCGCTCTCGCTGCTGTCTTAACTGGGGCGTTTGCTGGCGCGCTGGCTGGGACCTTTGCTGGCGCCCTAGCTGGGACCTTTGCTGGTGCTCTCGCCAGAGCCTCGACCGGCGCTCTTGCTGCTGCCCTAGCTGAGGCCTTTGCTGGCGCCCTAGCTGGAGCCTCTGCTGGTCTCGCTGTGACCTTCTGCCGGTGCTCTAGCTGGGGCTGTTGCCGGTCCTCGAGGTGGCGCTTCCGTCGTTGCCCTAGCTGGAGCCTCTGCCGGTCTAGCTGCGACCTTTGGCGGTGCTGTAGCTGGGACTGTTGCCGGTCCTCGAGGTGGCGCTTCCGTCGCTGCCCTAGCTGGAGCCTCTGCCGGTCTAGCTGCGACCTTTGGCGGTGCTCTAGCTGGGGGCGTGTGCGCGTTCCGCGCAGGTGGCGCCTTCCGCCGTTGCCCTAGACCTGGAGCCTGCTACCCGGGTCTAGCTGGCGACCTCTGGCCGGTGCTCTAGCTGGGGCTGTTGCCGGTCCTCGAGGTGGCGCTTTCGTCGTTGCCCTGGCTGGGGCCTTTGCCGGTCTAGCAGCGACCTTTGGCGGTGCTCTAGCTGGGGCTGTTGCCGGTCCTCGAGGTGGCGCTTCCGTCGTTGCCCTAGCTGGAGCCTCTGCCGGTCTAGCTGCGACCTTTGGCGGTGCTCTAGCTGGGGCTGTTGCCGGTCCTCGAGGTGGCGCTTTCGTCGTTGCCCTGGCTGGGGCCTTTGCCGGTCTAGCTGCGACCTTTGGCGGTGCTCTAGCTGGGGCTGTTGCCGGTCCTCGAGGTGGCGCTTCCGTCGTTGCCCTAGCTGGAGCCTCTGCCGGTCTAGCTGCGACCTTTGGCGGTGCTCTAGCTGGGGCTGTTGCCGGTCCTCGAGGTGGCGCTTTCGTCGTTGCCCTGGCTGGGGCCTTTGCCGGTCTAGCTGCGACCTTTGGCGGTGCTCTAGCTGGGGCTGTTGCCGGTCCTCGAGGTGGCGCACGGCGCCGGGGGATTTCGTCCGTTGCCCCTGGCCTGGGGGCCTTTGCCGCGTCTAGCTGCGAACCTTTGGCGCGTGCTCTAGCTGGGCTGTTGCCGGTCCTTCAGACGTGCCGCGCTTTTCGTCGTTTGCCCTGGCTGGTGCTTTCCGCGTCAGCTGCGACCTTTGCCGGTGCTCTAGCTGGGGCTGTTGCCGGTCCTCGACATGACGCTTTCGTCGTTGCCCTGGCTGGGGCTTTTGCCGGTCTGGCTGGGGCTCTCGCCTACGTGCTTTCCGTTCCTTAGACCCTCCCGGAGACCCTCCTTTGGGCCCTGTCGGAGGCTCTCCTGGAGACCCTCTTAGAGACTCTTTCCTGGACCTTGTTTCGAGGATCTTTCGGGAACCCTCGTCGAAATCCTTGCTTAGATTCGCTCTTCTCTCCTGGAGACCCTCTTAGAGACTCTTTCCTGGACCTTGTTCGAGGATCTTTCGGGGACCCTTCGTCGGTATCCTTGCTTAGATTCCCCCTTCTCTTTTGGAGACTCTCCTGGAGACACTTCCCGGGACCTTCGCTTGGATCCTCGCATGGAACCCTTCTCAGGCTCTCCTTGAGACTGTTCAATCCAGTCGGTAACGCTTTCCGGGTACCATACCTCCTTTCAATTCAGGTAATATCGTGCGACCTTGCAATCTCTCTTTTGCCTTTCCTGTGTTGACTCTCCCGGAGACTCTTTCCGGGAACCTCTCCGGAACCTTTCCCAGTACCGTCGTCGGGACCTTTGCTTAGATTCGTCCTTCTCTTTTGGAGACTCTCCGGGAGACTCTTTCCGGGACCTTGTTCGAGGATCTTTCGGGGACCTCGTCGGGATCCTTGCTTAGATTCCCCCTTCTCTTTTGGAGACTCTCCTGGAGACACTTCCCGGGACCTTCGCTTGGATCCTCGCATGGAACCCTTCTCAGGCTCTCCTTGAGACTCGTTGCAATCCATCGGTAACGGTTTCCGGTACCATCCTCCTTTCAAATTCAGGTAAAATCGTGCGACCTTGCAATCTCTCTTTTGCCTTTCTGTTGACTCTCCCGGGAGACTCTTTCCGGGAACCTCTCCGGAACCTTTCCCAGTACCGTCGTCGGGACCTTTGCTTAGATTCGTCCTTCTCTTTTGGAGACTCTCCGGGAGACTCTTTCCGGGACCTTGTTCGAGGATCTTTCGGGGACCTCTCGTCGGGATCCTTGCTTGGATCCTCCCTTCTCTTTCTGTAGACTCTCCTGGAGACACTTCCCAGGACCTTCGCTTGGATCCTCGCATGGAACCCTTCTCAGGCTCTCCTTGAGACTCGTTGCAATCCATCGGTAACGGTTTCCGGTACCATGGTCCGTTTCAAATTCAGGTAATATCGTGCGACCTTGCAATATCTCTTTTGCCTTTCTGTTGACTCTCCCGGAGACTCTTGCCGGGACTCTCGCTTGGATCCTCGCATGAACCACTTCTTAGGCTCTCCTGGAGATTCTCCCTTAGAGTCTCCCCTTCCTCCTCCGCCTTCTCTTCTCCCTCTTACTCCTCCCCCTGGAGGTCCTCCCCGCCTCTTCTCCTCCCCCTGGAGGCGTTCCTCCGCGCCTCCTCCTCCCCCTGGTAGGGGTCCTCCGCCAATCCGCCTCCTCCTCCTCCATCGGATATAATATATAAAATAATAGATACCTCTACCTCGGTCTTCCCCCTCCGCCTCGGGTCCTGCATCGGGTCCTCCTCTCCTCTCTCCTCCTTGCATCGGTCATCCTTCCTCCTATCCTGTCGGTTCCTCCTCCTCCTCCTCCTCCTCCTGCATCGGCTCCTCACCTCCTTCTCCTCCTTTGCTATCGGCTCCCCCTGCTCCTCCCTCGGCTCCTCCTCCTCCTCCTCCTCCTCCTCCGGCTCCTCCACCCTCGGCTCCTCCTCCACCGGCTCCTGCTCCAACAGGACCTCCTGCATTCGGCGGCGGTAGAGGACATTTTTGGCACATGCACATGTTCTCATCACCTAGCAGCATACAGGAACCAGGGCCACAGGCCTGAAAAGGTACTTCATCGTGTTGTTCTAACAAAACATAAGAAAAAAATACACACAGATTTTTTTTGCTGAATCTCTGCATAGGGTAATCCAGTGCCCTACACCAACGCCATTTAGCGTTGTCGCAAGTATGAGTCCGGGAAGAGGAGTATTTCCCTCTATGACAACGCTCAGTCCTGATAAAGCACTGATCGGAGTGCCCTAGAATACCACTGGCGAAATGAATGTCACTTTCGTAATCGGTATGCCATAAGTTTTCACCGATGCTATGAAGGGAAGTGGCGCCAAGTGGCGACGGCATAAAAATCAAATCTATTAGGTTGTCCGGAAAGGAATGCGCGTTGAATTTTTTGAACTTGTCCATTTTTTCTCTCCTACTATAGAAGATTTTTGGAGACAGTTTTGTCTATTAGAAAGAGATTTTTATTGTGCTTCTTTTGATATATTTTTGTCCATGTCTACCAGCTGAGCGACGCAAACAAGGCAACACGAGTGGCAATGGCCGGAATTCTTCTTCGCTCCAAGAACAGCGGTTTTTTCGACTCTATTATTACATCAAATGAGAAAAGGGTCTGCTTCGATAACGCAACGAGAAAAGGACAGTGGTTAGACTCCAGTGACCCTCCAAAACGGACTCCGAAACCTGATATACGCGGCAAAAAGGTGATGCTCCGTGTTTGGTGGAATAGCAAAGGTTTGATGTACTTTGAAGTTCCGGAATCGGGTCAGACGGTTACGGCGGACATCTGCAAACACCATTGAACCGCATGGATCCAGCACTGCGTCTTCAAAGTGTCGAAACGACGTCGACAAAATTTATCCACGACAACGCTCATCCACATGTGGCGAAAATCACTCTAGAAAAAAATTGAGGAATTGGGCTGGAAAGTCCTGCCTCATCCGCCACACAGATCAGACCTGGCACCATCGATTACCATCTGTTCCGGTCGATGCAGAACTCCCAGAAAATTCACAAACCGCGAAAAAGGTCCAACTCTGGGTGTCCAACTTCTTTGAGTCGCAGCCGGTCGAGTTCTTCAGAAGAGGAATCCATTTTTTGCATAAATGTTGACAACAAGTCATTGATACTAATGGAGATTGTCTTTTGAATTTATCTTGTTTAATTTCGTTTTTATAATAAAAAATTTTTTAAGCTCGAACGCGCATTCCTTTCCGGACAACCTAATAATATACGTGATCAAGGCAGGAAACAACCCCTGCAGGCAAGGTGCCAGCGAAGAAAGCTTTTTGGGATGTGGGCTCCCAGTGATTTTTTTGCTTCATGATTTGGTTAAATTTTTCCACGTCGATCTCATGGGCTTTTTCTTTATACCCACCTTTGAGCATTTCTAATTGGCGCGATCCCCTCCTTTGCCACTTGAAGGGAGATGCGCATCAACGCAGACATATCAGTAGTACGTCTGACTTGGCCCATACAATCGACATGTACTGTGTTCACTTTTTTAGCTATACTATAGATCGTAGTGAAAGTCAACAGAACGAAAAGAAGTAATCGAGTTGCAATTACGAAGAATCTCACCCTTATACCACACCATCCTTCGCATGCAGCATCCGAAATCATTCCCACAAGGGGTAGGCCATGCAATAAGCAAGCAATTCTTTCTAAGAATTGGCTCGTGGCGACGTCAAAGGTGACGACCAGCAGAAGGCATAGCATAAGACGGTTCATTTTCGAATTCTGAAAATAAAATCTCCTCAGAATGTTACTTCGACAAGGGTGATAGCGGTGAAAGTCGTAATAGGCCGAACTGATAATACTGGTGTGCAAAACTTAGGGACGAGATGGATAAAGTAACATAAAACACTAATGACTGGGTGGAAGTAAATGAAAGTGTGGGAGCATGTTGCCACTCGCCTAAGGGATATGCACAGGAAGCTAGACTTTTCTCGGTGGAAGAAGAGCTTGAATAAAGTGCCAAATATGGCCGACCGCGCAAATCGAGGCAGTCTATGGGTATAAAAAAATTTTTTCTCAATCAACGAGTAGCTGCAAAGAACTGTGGTAGTATCCTTCGATGTCCCGAAGAGAGCATCTGGATGACTTCACTCGAGGAAGGATCATAGGGAAACTCGAAGAAGGTCGAACCATGACGAGTGTAGCCCAGGAGTTCGGTATCGCTCACAGCGTTGTTTCACGTGCATGGAGAGCGTTCCGAACCTTTGGTACTGCTGCCCGAAGACGAGGAGGTGGCCGACCAAGGACAACTACACCAAGGGACGACCGCTACATTGTGCAGCAGGCAAGAAGAGATCCTCGTCAGTCGGCTTCGGCTATTGCAACGACGTTTAACAGGACTCTAGGGCAAGCCATCTCACGCACTACAGTGGCAAGACGACTGCATGGTGGTGGTCTCTTCGCCCGACGACCGTGACGACGTGTTCCTTGTTACGTTGTGTTCCTTTGACCCCCGCGCATCGGCGAGACCGTTTACGGTGGTGCCAGGAGCATGGCGAATGGACCGATGAGGAATGGAGCCGTGTGCTCTTTTCGGATGAGAGCAGGTTCAGTCTGAGCAGTGATTCTGGACGCACCCTCATATGGCGAGAGGTGGGAACACGCAACTCCCCGGAAACATTGTCGAACGTGATCGTACTGGTGGTCGAGGTGTTATGGTATGGGGAGGCATCATGTTGCATGGCCGTACTGACCTCCAGATTTTTGAGGCATGGAACCCTAACCAGTCAGCGTTAACTGCGACGAGTTCTACATCAAATGTACCTTTTTCAGAGCTCAAATCGCCCTGCTACTTTTTAATGGAAATCACCGCATCGAACAGCACAGGTGAAGGAGCTTGTAGAACGAGAGGCATATCCGGCGAAAGGAGTGGCCCCTCGTTCTCCCCACCTAAATCCCATCGAGCACCTGTGGGATGCACTGTGTAGACGCATTTCAGGCATCAATGGACGATTCAGCAATTGTCAAATGCACTGATTGAGGAGTGGAATGCCGGCCTACAGAGGTCAATCATTACCAATCCAGTGGAAGAGTATTGGGAATCGCGGTGCAAGCATCATATATCGATGTCCGTGGTGATCAGACACCCTATTAGGATCCGTGTAACTTCTTTTGTAGTACCAGGATGAATCGTGAAGACTTATGTGTAATCGACATGGTTGAATAAAAATGTCATAACAATTCGTCTTATTCCGAGTTTTCTGGTCAGTTGCTTTCTGTACAATATCGTTCTCCCTCTTGATATGATACTGAATTCATCATCGGCTAATCGTTGTCTGGCAGAAGGCACCGTGATACGAAAGTTCTTTCGTCGCCTGAATTGCCAGGCACAGTGTGAGGAAAGAGGGTTGATCAGAGCAATCTATCGTTCAACTGATCGCGCTACCTGTTATTTTCTTTTATTTTAGATTATTCTAGGTTTGAGAAGAAGTTGAAATGCGTATCTGATGCGTACGTAAGCGCCTCATGACGTTCAGACTTCGCCATGAGGCGGCCATCGATACTCGCCAACACTGTGACGCCAGAATCGTCAGCGCTGCATTCGCAAACCACGCGTTTAATAGGGTACGCGTAATAGGGATTCAAATAGGATGTTGAGATGCTAACACCGTCACTGGTTGAGGGAAGCAGTTAAATTCGCTTCCCATCCCCGAAAAAACCCTCTAGGGGCCACATCTACACGAGCAAAGGGCGACCAAAGGTGTAAGGACGAGATCACCGGACAGCGGCTTTCGTGATTATTATGATCGCACTTATAAGATTATCCACCTACGTTCTTTCGCACGATTTCTGCTGTGTATGGCAGTGGGCGGGACCAGTGAATGAAGCGTCGACCCACAGAACCTGAGAGGAAAGGAGGCATGGCTGCCTTTGTCACATTCCCTTTTGCGAAGGTGGTGCAAGCGCTACAACTGTGGGCCAAGCAACTTGCTCGAGAAGGAAAAGCTACTTGGCATCGAATCAGAGCCTGCCTCTGAGCGGTGGAACCAAAGAGGAGCGAGGGTTCTGCTGTATTGGAAATTTCATATCGCAATATTATGTCTTGGGTAATATAGCCTTCTTGCATGATGTGGTGCTGAAACTGCTTGCGGTGGGCCAGAGCACTTAACAACCAGAAAGGTCACATACTACCCAAGGTGCTCCCACACATGACCTGCAATGTAGGATTTATCCGTATTCCCGACGATGGCAGTTTTTTAGTTGGGTAAACAGGGCACATCATTGGTTGGGGATTTTAGTCGACTCCATCGACTTCCCCCTTTGTGTTGGTAGGCCGCCGGGCCAT